GCAACGCACGCATATCACTAAGGTATAAATATAAAATGCAACAGCACGAAGCACAATGTGAAGGCGTGTTTTCTCATTCTGCGAGATGCGGTCTTTTATATCGGGCAACCGGAGCGTTTGTTCAGAACTATTCAGTAGCGTAGCTAAACTTATTACACTCTTATGCAAATCTTGGATGTTGCTCTCATTATATTATTATTTTTTAATTGTATAATTATTGTAATTAACATATGTTAGATAATTTTGAAGAAATTTAGGTTGCTTTGAAATAAATACGTACGTCGATAAAAGAAACAAGTTGCCAATTTAATTTTAACACTTTTGTTCATTACTAGATATACAGCAATTAATATTGGAATAAATTGCAAAAAGGGATTTTATTTTAATATACTTTTTGAATTTCTTATTACACCCGAGAAAACGGGGAAGAAAAACTAATGCGTTTTCTGCAATAACGAATCTCTACATCTTCTTTCTTTCTTTTTTCTTTTTTTTCCGTTTTTTTTTCTTACACAGCTGTGTAAGAAATGATCGTATCGTTTGCATGCGTTTTCTCCGCGCGTTACCACGCGCTGCATTATCATAATTATGCGAGAGAGGTCCGGTCCTTAGAATAACGGGTCGCGACGAACAATCAGATTGTATCGGCGGCCAGCCATATTGGCCCAAGTTTTCGCACCGATGATCGTCGTGGGAAAACAGGCGTTTCTTCGGATCATAATTACGTTCGCGTTTTGCACAGTTGCGCGCGGCTATAATTGCGCTCGCTCGCTCGCTCATCCGCTTGCTCGCACACGCCGACGAATAGTAGAAGAGGTTTGAATTGCAAAAACCTATAAAGGAGTCACGCCTGAAAATTGGGATATGGGCTAAGTGTAAACGGGAGCATTAATTAGAGCAAGAGAGAGGCCGATTCTTTGCTAATTAATAATTGTGCGCAAACGTTGTTGAATTGTTGTGAAACAAGTGTCGCACACGGCATATATTTGTCTCAATTATTATTATGCATTGAGTTGATTCTGGAGAGTCAAGCAAAACTTTTTCGTACATTCTTCCTTCACTTTAATACATTTTTGTTTTAGAAATAAAAACACTGATAATAATTTTCATGGAACTTTATAAGAAAAGTAAATTACAATTGATTAGCAATTTTGAAAATAATTCTATTTTATGACAGCTCAATAATAAAATAAATGATGTCTTTTTTCTTATCGATTCTTTGAGTTGATGTTTAATGAATGAATAACTTTTTGTTCATATATCGAGTAAATTGAAACTTTTGTCACAGATTGACGTGGGTTCCGCGTTAAATTCTTCGTAGCGTAGATTTTTCGTAGGATTCTTGAGAATTTAGTCTCGACGTGTTCTTTGTAGAACAAAAAGTCGCATTTTTTCAAGACTTCTCATAGCATAAATTGCGTATATTACAATGCTAATCGACTTGTAAATCGATACTGAATGTCCCGTTAATATGAGAAGTCGTTTGATTCTCTTACTCAGCTTGTTTTCTGGGCGAATTTTTCCGTATCGTGCGACAAAATAATAAGAGTGTATCCCTCTTAATTTTTTCTTACTAATCTTAGAAATATATTCTAGAGATACGATTACTTGTGTTATTTTACTGAGGAATTTACATTCTATTGACAGTTTCTTCAAAATTGATTTCAATTGTAGAAATTGATTAAGAATTTATTGGCAAAAGTTTTTTTAATCTGAAAATGATCTATATAAGGAATTTCTTTTCAAGTAAAATTTGTTTCTTAAAGTTCTCGTAAAGTTTTGTTTGCGGGATGCAACAGGGGGATATGAAGTACGCGAGTGCCTGGAGCAAATTTTCTCTTTGTCGCGGTGTCACGACTTCTCTTGGATGTTTCTTGGCACTTGGAATAAAATAACGAGAGCGCATCAAATTTTATCACCGTGCTCTCGCACGGCCGCGTAATATATCGATCACTTTACTTTTGCCGGCTTGTCGCCGCTAATAATAGCGTTTGGCCCACTGCGCGCCGTGGCGCCGGCAGAAATAGCGCGCCATCGTACGAAAACGCTCCCTCACACAGCCGCATACTATAATCAGAAAAAAAATCCAGCTGCCGGAAGTACTTTCTCTGAAAATGAATTTAATTTTCTTGCTGTAAAGACAATGTACGTATGTAAATGAAAATCCGTTAATCGTCAGCTCTATTTACAGCTTCATTGCTTTTTCTTCTTTTTATAATTTTTCTCTTATATAGTTTTCTTTTTGAAAAAAAGTCACATATAAGTTTTGAAATTTTGCGTCTAGCACTTTTCTCAGTCAATCGTATCGAGATAAAACGTTTGCACGAAATAATGCACTTTAAATCATAATTTGAACCATTTCGTAAATGTACTAAGCAATGAATTTTCGGGGAATTTTAACGCGAGTGCGAAAAGTGAGTTGCAGTCAAATAATTTATCGAGACAATAATTACTGGAGAATTTCCAAGAAATGCACGCGCAACATTGCATAGACCAATGTGAATCGATTAAGATAACGTGATTAACACGCGATTAAACGCGCGATGATTATCTCATCGAGCGCATCTAATGACAATATGCAACTCATTGACGCACATCACTCTGCGTCGTGCGAAGGTTACGAACATTTTTATTCTTGTCTATAATCGAAAAGTTTGTTGAGTTTAGCAAAAGTTTCTAAGAGACGGAGAGATGGAGAAATGTACAATTTTATTTTATGCACAATCTTTTATTTTGTATAATCTGCATTGTGTGGGGAAAAAGTTGCAGTATTATATTGCAGGTTATATTTATAAAGAAACACAAACTGCCGCATTATTACTTGTGAAATGTATTTCAGCTGTAATCAGATCTTCGTATAAGAGAAATTCCAGTTATAAAACGCAATTATTGATATGATGTTCTGTGAAATTTCAAATGATTAAAAACGTTTCGAAATACACTGAGAGACTACCGGGAGACTACTTGTTCGATATATATTGTGCGTGCGTGCGTGTGTGTGTGTGTGTAAATAATTTCTCAATGTCTCAAAGTGTAACTGCTCAGATACGGATTTGCAAAGCGATTGTAACGGAAAAAGGCAAAAGCGTCTCGAGTTCTCTCGAAGATCTCCATTACGCGAATGCGACCCGTATCGCTAACTCGCGAACCGCGGGGTGCATTGTACCTTCTTGCGAGCAGTGCGAGCAGTGCGAGTAGTGTAGGTATTGTGCAGCGGGGCATACCCGACACCTGTTGCCTCAGCCGTGCTCTAGGGAAAACGAGATGCTTGCCGGGTGAGAGAACCGAGAGACAAAGAGAGCAAAAGAGAGAAAGAAAGAGGATCGCGTAACGACGTGTATAAATTACGATCGCCCGTTCGGCGTGTGTTCAACCCTTTTACGAGCGTGATGCTCTCGACTCTTCAACGTTCTCCTCAACTGATTTACCGCTGCAGTGCTCGCGAACTACCACTCCCCTTTTCACTCTCTTTTTGCGATATCGCTGCTCCTGGAAGGTATTTTTCACGAGTTTGTTCGCGAAAAGAAAAGTGACATTTTGTAATTTACAACGCGAACAATTGCGACTTCCGCGGAACTAAACTTGTAGAAAGTTAACCGCGCGAACAAGCTTGAGAGATCTACAGAAAATAAATTGAATGAATCGTACACAAATATTCGATATTACTTGAAGAGTATAAAAAGTGTATATAACATAGTATGAATGGAAATGTGAAAGAAAAAGAAATATTTTGCAGCGCGCAACCCCTTGATTGAATTTTGTTGAGTAATAATGAAGAGCGTGTTGTATGAAATAATTTTTGGGATTTGGAGCTTCTTCTGACTCGAGGGAGTTGAAAAAACTCGACTGTTGATTAAAATCTTGTTGAAATAAATCGTGTCTTTTGTAAAAGAAAGATAATAAGAGCCATTGACAAAGGGATATATATTAAACTTTTATACAAAATGATGAAATCTCACGATTAATGGGAGAAATTTTTCAAAGATTTTGCGGTGGTGACACAAAATCGGGTTGATAATTCGAAATTACAAAGAGATTTAAAAGAGATTCGCCAATGATCGGAGGATGACTTCCATCGGCAAAATAGTGAACCGAATCGGATGGATCCCGATCGAACCGCTATCTTCGAAACGTTGAACCTTTGTTAGCGGCTGGACTATTTATGAGAAGCCTATTATTTTCCCTCATTAGTCACCATGCAACTGTCTCCACGCTCGACTTTGACACGCGTTATGCGCCCACTCTTTATAGCCGCGCCGTCGCACTCTTGGCTTACTCTACAGTTTTATAGATTTACAACCGTCATTGAGATACGCGCGCATTTTCGCCAACGGCTCAGTGACAGTGTCTTTGCGATGTGATTCAGTGATTCCGTGGAATTGGTTCCGACAGATTCTATTACGTGACATAGAATCGCTGAAGGTCAAACGTTACATTACATTTTTATTATTTGATTTATGCAATGTGATTTATACAATTGTGCATTGATTTCACTTGTACATTTGGAACACAATAGTACTCTCGGAGTAGAGTAAAGTAGAGAGGAGGGTTTTGGCTATGTCGATAGTGCTTTAAATTTCACGTTTTATTTGATTTTTTTCACGCGAAACAATGCCGAGTCATATCTGTTGCAGAATATGGGTATAAAAGATGAATTCCATCAGAGAAACATTTTGGTGTGCATTGAGGAACTCTGTCAGCCATCGCCGCCGCCGCCGCCACCGCCACCGGTGGCGACGGAGACGACGGGCCTGGCGTTCAACACAACGATGCCAACGTCCGGCGTCACCGTTGAATCGGGCTGTCCCCTCGGAATCAACTATCCGAACAACAACATGACCAATAACGCGCACAATCTCATACCGCACAGCTTCAGCGTTTTGGAGAAGTGTGGCAAATGCCATAAATATCTCAGGGGTCTCTTACATCAGGGCTTTCTCTGCCAAGGTATGTCTGTTTCCGACATCGATCTTGTCTAATTAACACGACCGAATATCGATATCGTTATCTATATAGAGTAGAATCGGAGAAGACCAATTTCTTTCCTATGGATAACTTCGTGCCTTTGAATTAGAGAAATAGTTGTCGATATAAATGGCTATTACCTGTGATGCTTCTTATATTAATATATATATATAATTTGACAACTGAAAATTGTTTTATCGCTGTGGCGAGGGATAACTTTGCCTCTTTGAGAACGCATAGTTTTAGTGTAATCCGTCCTACTGTTTTGTTGAATATGGAATCTTACGACCAACGCGAAGAAACTTTATCGAATCATTTGTGCAATTTTCCTTTGTATTCGCTAAGCTTTTTGTACTTTTCGGAAAATTTTTTATCTAATTACTTGAAATTAATTAAACCTCGAATCATTGTTTGTCAATCATTTTATGGCTTTCTACAGATTGTTAGATTCATCATAAATATAAAAGTTTGAATTTCATTGTTATTCTCACATGACTCTCAATTTGATGATAAATTCGGAAAGCAGAAGTAAGCAAACACACAAGTATGTGTATTTCGCGCTGTTGATCTCGCGAATTTTTCGTGTTGCACAGATTGCGGGCTGGTCGCTCACAGGACGTGTTCAGCAACGGGTTTGCCTTCCAATTGCATATCGGTCGACTCGGACAATCGTATCAGCAGGTTTGCTTCAGGTAAGTTGCGTTGCTTATAGATCGCTCGTTTGCCGCCGCCGCCGTTGCCGCCGCTTGCGGCCGTAGCGAGTACGAGCACAGCCTCGTAGATAGGTGTTTATTAATTCTTTATCGCGCCCCTAATGGATGCTGGGCATGGAAGGATGCTGAAAAGTCCAGTTGTCTTCCAAGAGACGAGAAGTTGCGTCAGAAGCGCCACTCGCTAGTATCATAATCGGCTGCATACCGGCGATAGTACGAGTTACGAAGCTAACGACAAGGACGTCCGTCCTGGCGCCTACCTGTACGCGCACTCGCGTATCTCGTTACGATAACCTGGATCACTCGATGGAGGTTTGCATCTCACGGCTGACGGAGTGCTTTCTTCCAATGAAATCCCTCCGCGCTGCGATCGCCGCGTGGGAGCCACCTCACTTGCTGGCATTTAATGATCCTTAACCGAGCGACCGTACGAGTTTCAACATGATTTTACCCGCATTTTACGACGTGCGTTCCTCACTTTGCAAAAAGTGATATCCACAACGCAACGTTTGGGGTAAAGAAGATGCTTTTCAAATTCTTAATCAGCAGCAGTTTTAATCGCAGTGGATCGATCGCTTATCAATCTCCTGTAAGAAATTATATTTTACATTTGTGTGTTCACATTCATAAACGTGTGCATTAAGGTGTACAGCAAAATACAACTTGTCACGAATTTGCTTCTAAAAGCTCTGTTGCTCGATTGAATAATTTGTGCTTAAAATATTATTAACTATTTTTTATTAGCGTGCTGATAAATCGACCATTTAGACCGTCGGCATTTTCTCAAGTCGCGCCGGTCGCCAGCTGAAGAAGGTGTGCAGCGCGCAGTCTTGAGCTTTGACAGCGAAATGGTTAAACGGCGCGAGTGCTCCAGACGACGATAATCGGCAGAGACAACGCAGGCGAGACTCAACGCTCGCGCCGTCAATGCGCGCGCCTCCAGCGATGCATTTAATTAACGCTGCACACGCTGCGGCGCGAATGACGGAATCGAGAATATTTGTGCATAGCAAAACCGCGAACGCGGCGCCGCCAGCTTTCAGGGCCGTGTCGCCCCGTCGCTCCATCGTTCCGTCGCTCCGCTGCCTTCGATCCTACGTTCATTTAGTCGAACCGTTTTTCATCGCCAATTGCATTTGTACACATTATGCGCGACGGTGCATCGATCACTGGAAATTATCGTTCCTTATCACTGATAAGGTCGTTACGTTTATTCGGCGCGACGACAATTTGTGACCGACGTTAAGAATCCATCACATCTTCACATTTCATACGAGTGGAATCAATTATTTTGCGCGAGTAGCTTGCAGAGAATTATTGGGAAGAAATGCTCGTGAGAGTTGGGAGACATCCCGAGTCATATAGATCGGTAATTATACTTTAAGAGAGATTTTATTATCCAATGCGCTTCTTTCGAAAATCCGTTGAGATCGGATCTAATCAACTTTCCGCTTTAATGTCCTGAGAAACATGGCCCGTGGAGATCGTGAACAATCTAATCTAAAGCAGTTTACGGAGGAAAACGTTTACGCGCGTTGTATTGCGCGTCACATACGCGGTTAACGATCGCCGATGCGCGGTCTCCACGCGGAGGTTTCATTCGTATGTGCGATTGTTGCCACTGGCTCCAGTCGATTTATAGTAATTGGTGGCGTTTAATCGCTTCTATATGCGAATCATCAACGCTCGGCCGAAACGTATATGTACGTGGAGGTGTAACGACGATTATACTTCCCCCTCTCGAAGAAAAATTCGAGTCACGTGCAGTTGCACGCGTCTTTGAGGTTGCGACTGCGACAATGACAGTCCCGCAAATTGCATCTGTCTGCGACTCGCGCGGAAGAAAAGTTGATTGAAAATGACGTAGCGATCAATTTGTCTTCTCTTATTGTGTTTGCTAAGGCTTGATAGCTTTTGCGCCAAGCTTTTTAAATAGATATTTACAATTATATATTTATCTTTTATGTTACTCGCATTCGAAATTTAATGATGCATTCATGAATTGTTCGTTAGAGATGTAAGCTTCAAACTTTGCGTAAACGTGCGTACGCGTATTAATGACAAATCGCTCTTAGAGTCTTATTAGTCTTATCTTGCGTATTAAATTGTATTGTCGAGAGCGATTTATTCGACTCTTGAAATTGGTCGAAATTTTTGGCGCGCGCATCGATGAGCTACTATGAAATTTGTGACGAATGAACATCGGATAGTTCGGCTCTGGCCTCTGTCGTGCATCCGCGCGTAAAATTCACATGTGTCTATATTTTCGCCCGTAGATTGTGTTTTAATCCTGACTTTTTGTTTCCTTTCTCTCACTTGATCAGTCGCTCGAGTCCTTCTCAAGAGAACGAGAAGAAGATACGGTCATGAAGAAACAAGACGTCGCCGTCGCGGCCGTAAAAATAAATTTCTCTTCTCCTCTTCCCACACAATGTTCTCTCCGTCTGTCCGATCCGCTCACCGCCCTCTTCTCTCTCTCTCTCTCTCTCTCTCTTCTTCTCTCTTCTCTCTCTCTCTCTCTCTCTCTCTCTCATCATAATGCACGCGTACGTGTCTTTGATTGTACAAGTGGCATATATGTGCGGTATTCGCGAGAGACAGATCGAGCCTGAAAATATGATCGCGCGTACATCCTCGTGCGAAAATAAAGTCAAAGATTTGTCAGCCATGCGCGCGCGCGCGTCGTAGGCGATAAACAGCGAGAAGTAGCTTGTCCACTGACGCGATAAATCTGCGAGGAATCGCGAGGAACCGCGAGAAATCGCGAGGAATCGGGAGGAATTCCTTCTCGAGCATTCCTCGAGCGATTGTGGCGTTACGCAATTTCATCATTCCGCTTTGTCCCCGCCGAATATCGCGACTGAGCGCGACGCTTTGGAGATAAAGAGAAGAAGTGAGAAACACTGGGCTTGCTTCATCTCTTACAAATTGGTACCATTCTACGATCGATTGCGTCTTACATGGTAAACTTTAATGCTTTAAACCCAGCAGGAGTTAAGGCTGGACGATTTAAGCTGTCACTAAATTCCTTTCACATAATACGATTGATTATCTTTTAACAAGACAACAATTTACGATAAGAGAAAGTAGAAATATGCAGTATATTATGTTTTTAACTGATACGTTCGATTTGTTGGCATCTATCAATTATATTTATTTTAGTCATTTAACACATTATATGTAATCATACATTAAAATTGTCAATGCTTCTTTTCAAAAGTTAATCGTGATATCGGGCAAAATCAGATTATTAAAAACAGAAATTTTCATCTTATCAGGTAAGATTCTGGGTTTCATATTTTTACCGTATCTTTTCATCTGATAAAGCATGGCCGATAAAGGATTAAAAAGTACGATAATAAAAAGATGTTTGCTGATTCTGTACAGAGTGTCTAGCTAAGAATTAAGTTCGGCAGTGATATCATCATATTATCCTGCTGAAAGAGATATGAAATACAAGAGATACAAATTTTGCATATATTTAATCTCATACGTGTGTATTAAAGTGTGTAACTAAAGTTTCGAGTAATATTTTTCACACTTGTTTTACACGTTTTTCATTTAGGGAAAAGTGATTGATATGCTGCATTGCATCTCCCAAAATACATCTCGTGATGATCTCGTGAAACTCGCCGTCATCATAGTTGCACAAACCCGCGGAAACAAATAATCCGACGGTCTCTCGACGTTTACTTGGTCACTCTAATATTTATCGTATTTTTCAGTGTTTGGCCTCGCGTTGTGCTCGCAATTCGACACCGCCAGCCGCGCGGCACCGATCCCGGTGGAGCGATGCACCCGCGCCCTCGAGGAGCGAGCATTCGCCGACACGACGCTGGACCTCTATAAAGTCTACCACAGCAGCCCGCCTAATGAGCAGACCCTTGAGCTGCGACAAAAGCTGAACGAAGGTAAGACAAACGCGCCGAACGTGAGCAAGCGCGACCACAAGCCGCTATAAATAGCCAGCAGTCATTCCACAATGTTCGGCTCGCGTGTTGCAAAAATGTTGAGGCGCGCACTTCCAGATTATATTTGCATATTGCATCGATACGGAAGACTTCCAAATTGAACAGAGAAAAGCGAGTGCGCGTTTATTTTGCTCGACAATTTTGCATCGAGATCTTTGATTGCACAATAAACAAGCGAGGTAGAGTTTGCAACAAAAAAAAAGAACAAAAAAAAATTCGAGATCTTGCGTTTACGAGTACCAAACGTTTACGCGATTTAGCGTGAAAAGTGCAAAACTCGTGCACAATTCTTTGAAATTTCCTTTCATTTCTCGCAATGTTGTCTAGTATATGAATCAGTTGTGTCCCCGGGGAGTGATGTTAATCACTCAATGTAAGTTTCCATTATTTTCTCAGAAAGACATAATGCATTAATCTAATAGATTTGCATCATGCATCTGCGTGCTTTAAATATAATAATATTGATCTGAATGCAGCACCTGATGTCAATTATTATTGGAAGATTGAGAGATTGAGAGATACATTGGGAGATCGCGTTTAACGGAAACGAATAAAAAATCGACCTTTTTATCGATTATACGTGTATTTGCTTCCAATTATTGGCTTATTTTGATACGTTTGGAAATAGACTTCTCATTTTATTATTTATCACATTTCTCTGTGCGCGTTCTACAACAATTCAAATTCTTTATATTTTATATACAATTCTTTATATACAAAACTTTGTGGCACTGGAAATTGATAAAATTGATTGCTTAATTTGATACAAAACAGCTTTAAAGTAAACGTAATTTTTAATAACTTGAGGAAATGAATGAAATTTGTGTAAAAACAGATATGTTTCTCGCAATAAAATTACTCCTCAATTACAACTAATCAGAATTAATCGTTAACACATAATACTGATTACGATTACGAGTGGGTGATAATTGAAACCGGTTGCACGTGATATAATATTTTCAGATGTTTGCAACGCGGACTTAGACCCGTACACTCCACAGTGCATCGCGAGTGTTCTGAAGAAGTTTCTGCGAGAACTGCCAGATCCAGTGATACCCGTGCAATTGTACGACAGATTTCTCGAAGCGTCCAGTGAGTATTTTGCAATGGAGTTTTACAATTAATTAATTATTACGATAATTCTATTTAAATGTTATCTAATTGTTTATTTCAAGTTGCAAGCATATCAATGAAAATATTGCAACATGTACTTGCTTAAAAACCAATAAAACCAGTCATATAATATCGGAAATACTAAAAAATTATTGCAAAATTTTACATTGAAGCTCCTGTTGTCTAAAACGGGAGGAGAAATGAGAGAGAGACAGATTCCCTTTTTCAAATAATTAAATTTTCAAACTTAATTTTGCAACTTATTTGCCATTTATTGTGCTCGTTTGCTTGTAAACGTTTAAATTTTTGTTTTTGTCGCGCAGGTATGAGAAACGATGAGCAATGCGCGACGCGCCTCAATCAATTAGTAGCAGAGTTACCGGAACATCATCGTAGCACACTGTGCCATTTGATGGCGCATTTCTGTCGCATCTGCCAATTGCAGCACGGAAGGGGTTACACGGAACCACCGACCATCCTCGTGCAAGTGCTCTGCCACATATTTCTCAGGCCGCCCTGGGAGCGAATCATGTGAGTGCCACGTGGATTTTCTTCCAGTTAGTAGGGAAGTAGAATTTAGAGTATAGTGTGATTCACATGTTGTTCTTTTTACTTGGATGTTAACGAATAACAAAAAGCGCCGTGTTTTGCAGATTGTTATCTGGTCACTTATACACTTAAGACATGATATTATACGAGGAAAATAAGTAATAAAGTAATAAAGGGACATTTTCAACTGTTTTGGGAAAAGCGAAAAAGCCTCTTTTTACTTTTTTACTTTCCATAATATGTAATGATAATTGGGAAAAATTGACAGTTTTATGACTACATAGTTAAGCAATTGTAAGATTAACGTAGCGCTCGAGATAGATTAGGTACTTAATTGCAAAGAATTCAGCACGTTGCACTGCGCGATTTTGCAGCCAAGTTGTTCACAATACGGAAGCACACATACGCATAATGGAATTGCTGTTGCTACATGGCGATTGGAATGAAAGGTTGCCAGAGTTTGCCAGCCCTCCTCAATTGCCCCCGCGTAAAGTTTCGAGACCACAGTTTCCAATTTTGGATCCATTCCCGGCTCTCGAAGACGAAGCAGTAGACCGAACGGCACCTGGCGCAGATACTGGAAAGGACCAACAACCGCACAGGTGATTTTCAAATCCAATTTTGATTTCAAATCTTAATGCAATTTACTATCTAGCTGCAACTCTATTCAATCTTTTCCAATTCTACTCTAATGCTACATTTCATTTTTGCTCTAGAGCTGTGTGCACATTTTTCTTTAAGATTTATTCAAATAATCCTCTCTTGGAAAAGGCACGTCTTCCATCATAACATGATGACATTAATAGACTTAAAATTGTACAATTTACATTTTCTTTACTGCGATGCGTTGAAGTCTTATATTTTAAATAAATGAAGAAATGGTTTAGAATGTCACTCAGTTAATACCGTCAAGTTGATTATTATGAAGAAAGGTTGGGAAATGTAAATTTAATGATTGATGAATTTCTCTTATATTGCTAATATTTACCGATAATTACGCAAGTATAACAATTAACGTATGGATTATTAAATATGATGAAACGTAAATTTAAACTTTTTTTAATCAATTGTGCATTTTCTTTTTACATTACATTCCATATTTTTAAGGCTGTGTTCTATTAATAGTTACAATTAAACAATACGTATTTGTGTAATTGTCGCTGAAAAAAATTTTGCAGGCCACGCACGCTTCAAGAAGCCGAATGGTATTGGGGTGACATCACGAGGGACGAAGTAAATGAGATGATGATTGACTCGCCGGATGGTACTTTCTTGGTACGCAACGCGTCTTCTAAGGGCGGTGAATACACCTTGACATTGCGCAAAGGCGGGACCAACAAGCTCATCAAGATCAGCCATCGAAACGGAAAGTACGGGTTCTCGGATCCTTACAACTTCCACTCGGTCATCGAATTGGTTGATTATTATAGGAACTGCTCGCTCGCGCAGTACAACTCCGTATTGGACATTAAATTGCTCTACCCGGTGTCGCGATTTCAGCAGGTATCTTTCTCGAATTTTCCGATTTACTTAGCAAAATAAAACGACTTTGTTACATTTACTCTCAAACTTTTCTCTTGTTTATCTAAAAACAGGATGATGAGATCGCAAATACGACCGACATGGCAAAGGTCGAGCAGAAGCACAAGGAGCTGGAGAATGAATTGATTGAAACAATTCGGCAATATCAAAACTATTCCGAGATGTATACTAAAACGGCCTATGAGGTGCAGCTGAAGCGTCAGGCGTTGGAAGCCTTCACAGAAGCCATTAAAATGTTCGAAGAACAAATGAAATTGCAAGAAAGGTTCCAGAAGGAAGCTCAACCTCATGAAATTTCCACGTGAGTGTTTTCTTGTTACGTGGCTCTTGAAAATACTTGTTATCTTCCTGAAACGTTTAAAAGTGAACTCGAAATTGCACGTGTGCAGGAGCGATTAAATTGAGATTATTAATATTATCGGTATCGCATTTGACGGACGTTTACAGCTTGACGGACAATGCGGAACTGCTGAAACGAAGACTAAAGGCCTTAGAGGAGAGCAAGGAGAACTTGGACGATAATTTGAAGCAACAGATTGCTTATTACAGGACTCTTGAGAGAGAAATGTGCAGACTGAAGGGTGATATTGCTATGCTCATGCGGCAGAGGGAACGTCATTCTTTGTACGTATTTTGCTTTTATTTGACTTGGGCAAATTAATATTCCTTTTTCTCATACTCTTTTTGAAAACTAACTTGTTCGTCTTTTGTTCCGAACGACACAGGTGGTTAAAGAAAAACGAGATGAAGCAAAACAAAGAGGAGGTGGACTTTGCGGTCCATTCCGACGAGAAAACGTGGCTATACCTGCAAGGTTCTCGTCCTGATGCCGATCACATTCTGAAAGGTCGGCCCGACGGTACCTTCCTCGTCCGTCGATCAAGGACGGGCCAGTACGCCCTCTCCATAGTGTAAGTTTAAGTTTCTCTATTTGCCGACGTAAGTGATTATTACATGAATATTTCAAATCTACAATAATTGTTTATGGATCAAACACTTTGCGATCGGGCGCCTTTGCGATAAGTAAGAAATAATAAGAGGTTTTATTATAATTAGCAGTTCGATATTCGAGATTGCATTTGTTATTCGAGAAATATTATTGCGGTGTTATAGGTGTAACGGCACCGTGCAGCATTGTATAATATATGCCACTGAACGTGGTTTTGGTTTTGCTGAACCTTACAATATCCACGAGAGCCTGAAGCATCTAGTGTTACATTACGCTCAGAACTCCCTGGAGGAGCACAACGAATGCTTGACGACTACTTTGGCCTATCCTGCGTTTGCGCCGTCTGCAGAGTTAGCACAACTACAGGCCCAGCAGAAACAATTGCAAATTCACAATCAGAACCAACCACCGTTCGCGCGACTTCTTCACGAGAATCAACTCGTCATGCCGCATACGTAATATTGGTGTGTCGAGCGTCGCGATCAAGATCCGGTTCAGATTGGGTTCAAATACGTTCATACACGCCTGCACATCCACACGTGACTTTTGCTGCTACAGGCATCATTCGTCGATGGATGGATCGATCGATCGCATCATACAATCATCCATTTTAATGATGCTTTGAACACGTTCCGGCGAGATAAAATGCTTCTTTTTTGGGACGTTTCCTAAAACTGCGTACAATAATTATGCACTCGTGTCATAATCAGGGAAAACAACGTAGCGTGAATTGGCATCGTGAAAACACGCGCAATCGATCGGTTACTTAATCATCATCAAACGGTAAGTAAGTTGCAAGATTTCTGAAAGCACGGAGCGCTTCGTTGAAACGTGTAATGGCCGTAATAATACTAATCGTAAGAAATATTAGCGGTAGAATTAGATGTGTACGCGCGTAGTACGATTGCTTCGATTAACTCGGGGGTTCCCAAACGCGCGTCTCGATGCTCTGAAAGAAGACGCGGTTTTTGCCCAGAAGTAAGAAAACAAATCTCCTTCCATGTCAAAATGTAATTGGTAACAACGAATTAAGAACTTGGGATAATTCACTCAGTAGTTTAAGAACACACCCAATTAAACTGTGTTCTTACACTGCTGGCTATTAAATATTATGAAAAAATTTGCAAACATTTTTCAATCAGCATGATAAAAATGAGTGGCGGTAGAATTAATTGAAAATGAAAATAATAATAATAAT